CCCCGCCCAACTACCACCAAGGGCTCCTTGATCTATACAGGGAGCAGTTATCAGGCACCTGTTGTGTACCTCCTTCCCAAAAGCCTTGGCTTCAATGTATCCTGTGAACATTTGAGAACCTAATGTGCCTTTGCCCACCCCCAACCCTCTCGCCAAAGGCCTTGTCCTCTAAGGAATCTTCTGAGCATTTATCAAGTACCTGCAGTGTACCTCAACGGGAGCCCTTCCCCAAGACCTTTGGCTTCCATGAATTTTGTGAACATTCATTGAGAGCTTGACATGTATCTTGTGCCCTCAACCCTTGCCCTAGGCCTTTTCTCTAATAGATCTTGTGAGTATATATATCCAGAGTGAGTTATGTGCCCACCCCAGCCCTCTCCTCAAAGACCACCTAAACTGTGAACATTGATTGAGTGCCTGCTGTGTATCCCACCCCAGTTTCTCACCAAAGGTGTTGCCTTTAATGGATCTTGTAAGCCTTTATTGAATGCCCTCTGTGTGCCCCCAACCTCAGGCCGCCTCTCCAAGGGCCTATTTCTCCAAAGAATCTATAGAAACCATTAATTAAGTGCTTGATGTATGCCCCATCCCCAAGCCCCTTTCTCAAACGTATCATTTTCTTCAAATGAGTTCCATGACCATTTTTTGAGCCTTCTGAGTGAGATATATCTTCAGACTCTCCACCAAATCCTTTTCCTACAATGAATCTAGAAGGCATTTATTGAGTGCCTCTTTTATCCCCCATCCTCCAGCTACTCCTTCAAAGACCTTTCCTTTCGTAGACCCATCTAGCACTTATCAACTGCCTACTGTGTAGGCCTTCTCTAAAGACTCTTCCAGTGTATTCAACAAGCATTTATTGAGTGCCTTCTGTTTACCCCAAACCCTTTCCCCAATGCCTTTCTTCCAGTGCCTTCAATCTGCATGTATTCAGCACCTTCTGCATGATCCAAACTTAGACCCTCTCCCTAAAGGCCTTTGCCTCCAATTAATACAGTAATCAGATATCTGGCACTGTGTGCACCATTTCAATCCCTCTTTCCAGAGCCCTTATCTTTTTAGTCACTCCTTGGAGCATTTGTGGAGCACCTGCTGTGCACCTGATTCTGTGCCTTCTCCACAAAAGTCTTTCCTCCCCATGGATGGAGGATCCCCACTCCCCTTCCCCAAAAGATTTTTCTCCAATGATCCAGTGATTATATGCCCATCCGTAGCCCTCCCTCCCCAAATACCTTTTCCCTGAATGGATTCAGTGTGCATTTATTCCCTGTCTGCCAGGTGCTCAATTCTAATCACCTTCCCCCAAAGGCCTTTTCCTCCAATGAGAGCATGTATGGAGTCACTTCTGTATACTCTATGTTCACACCTCCTCCCCAAAGTCCTTTTCTTCCAGTGGATCCAGTGAGCATGTACGTGTGTAGGGAGGATGTGCCTGTTGTGTGTAGGGAGTACATTCCCCTTCATTACTCTTAGGAGAACCTGCACTGATCATAAAGCCCCTCTCCAGGGTCCTTCATTTGATAAGTCTAGAGCCCAATTTTTAAGAGGTACCCCCTTTCCACTCCCTTCAATGTCCTTGGGATTCCCTCTCTCACTCTTAAGTCGATACCCCAAAGGGTCTTCTTTCTATTTAAGCCACTACACGTTTATTGAGAGCCTACTATATAAAGGTCATTCCAAATCTGGAAGTTCTGCCCCTGTCTCAAGTGCTACCCTCCCACCCCACAAAGGGTCTACTTCAGTCTAAATATATTGATTACCAGTTCTTTACTAGTTAGATAACCACACCCCCAGGAACCATTACCCAGAAGCCTTTCTATTTAGAGCCATGTATTCATTCTAAAGATCTTAAATGCATACTTTTCATGTGTCAGAGTGTGGGAGGCATTTATTAAGCACTACTATATACTAGGACAACCCCTCCTTCACTTCTTCCCTCTAATCCTAAACATAAACTGGATTCTCTCTTTTCCTCTATTTAACGCCACAGTTCTTTAATAAGCACTTATTGTATACTTCTAAGAACCCCTTATTCAATGCCCCTTCTCCTACCCCTCTTATAGCCCTAATTCCCCTTTCAATAATCTTCACCCTGCCTTCCACACTACCCAATCCTGAAAGCTCTTAATGTGCACCTATTATATTCTGGCCAGGTCCCCTCCCCCACTTAGTAACCATCTTCTCAACTGCCCCTTTCTCCAATTAATTCAAAAGTCATTTATTAATCTCTTACTGTATTCTGTTCAAACAGCCACATTCCCATCCCTGCAGCAGGCCCTCCCAGTCTTTTCTCCAACAAACCATAAAGCATTTGTTGAACACATGGTATAATTCCTTCACCAGCACCCACTCACACAGATGCCATCTTTCTGGCTAAATTTGCTCCATTGACGTCAACAAACCTTCATGAGGCCCCTTCTGAATATTGCTAACCACCCTCCTTCAGACTTCCCTTCTTC